TTATCTAATAACAGGAGAACATTATTATAACTTTTAAATTTCTGACAGCTGATTTAGCTCTTTACTAGTCTAATCCAGGAGACTGTTCTTCAGAGTTAACAGTTTTAGTGGGAGGTTTTTCTTTCCCAGTCCAAGCATCACAGTCTGAATGAAGTTGAGTGTCTTTGCAAAGCATTTTGGGTAATCCAAATGCAAAGCATATGTTAGCCCAAATAACAGACAAACTGCCTGAGGCAAGTTTTTAATGTGATCCATGACGATACCTCCCTCCAGAATGATGGCAGTGGAGATGGGCTGGAGGTCCACTGAACTTGGACCCTCGTGAGGATCTTCACTGACAACACACCAACAGTGATGCATTCTAGGGCCTCGTCTCTTGCTGTATCCTAGACAGACACACACACACACACACACACACACATTCGTCAGTATTGGCAATTTATGCTCTTCTAAAACACTAATTTTTAGTGTTAAAAGCATTTGCTAGAGAATATGATTTTAAATATGTGTTCACATGGATTGTCCAACAAAATAAGTTTGGTATGGTTAAACTGAAGCTGGTGTCCACAAGGTCCATATATTCTTGAACCGACCTTTTAACCTTGACTTCTGCTCCTTAGATTTAAAATGAATTAATGTACATGTTTATGTACAGGCTGTTTAAATACCTCTCACATTATTATACAAAATCTATGTTGTATATTGTGCAGATAGAATCACATCTTCTGTCGGCACAGGTAGTTTTATATTAATACACACCGAACTTTTACTTATGTGTAAGTACTTACAGAGCATGTCTTGAAGAATTCACTGGCGTTGTCACCAAATATTATCAAAATGCCTTTGAGGACAACAGAGCGAAGTACTGTCACGTCTGGTGTCTAATGATACAGAGAGAGAGAAAAGACCAGTTAACTGAGTTATTTGGCACACGCACAGGTCAGACAGAAAATAGAACAGGTTGGTCTGGATCATCTCATTTAGAACTTGATTGATGAAGTATCATACAGATCAAAAGCAAAATTAACCTACTTACCATCCAGCTCATGTGCTGCATCAGCTCACTGAGTTTCCGGCCAACAGTTCCTTTTTTTGTTTTGAAAATGTCTATGAGCCGCGGGGTGTACTGGTCCAGAGCCTCAAAGAAGTCTCCCTCAAGATTCTTACTGGCGATTCGATTAAACTCGGCAAACACCTTAAAAAGTTAGAGAGAGGGGTGGGTAGGGATGGAGAGGTGTTAACATTTCAACTGTGTTTGGATTTCTAGCCACACACCTTAAATGTATTTTTGACTGGCATTATTTTATTGGTTGAGAACAAAACTATCTTACCTGTCGCTCTGTGAAGAGTGCTGGCCATCGTTCAACCATGTTGTGTACAGCAGGCTCCTTTTTTACAATGGAAAGCAGTTTCACTCACGTTCCTTAGGTCCTTTTGAGTGTGCCATGTTGATAAGTGGACTTTGAGTGCATTGAAAGATTTAAATGTGCACAGACACTCCTTATGAAGGCACGGTAGTGGTGATATTCGGGTGTGGCACCCATGCATTACGCTTAAGAAAATAGCCCCTCTCTTCAGCACAAAATGTGCAGTACTTACACGTCCACTGCATAGGACGTTTTTTTTGTCTTCTTAAAAATCTGAAAGGTAAGAAAAGATAAGTTTAACATCAAGGCCAGCAAAATAGAAAGAAAACACATTAACATGCAGTATCAGATTTGAAATACCAGAGCTATAGAAAAATAAATCGAAAAATGTATCTAATTGTCAGCTACCAAATGAACACTGCAGTACAAAAGGTAAATGGTAAACAACTCACTTATGTGGCTGGACATTAAGGGAACTGTGGATTGATCACTATATGCTGAGCCTGTAAGGGGACAGTTAAAAAGAATAGAACATTTTAACACAACCAAAGCTGACCACAACTCACAAACATCTTGAGTCCAGTACAAGTAAAAACTGTATCATAGGCCGATTACCCACAAAGACAGTATTATAATGTACATATTCTAGACAACATGACCTTAAAGGATAACTTAGGCCACTGAGTAAACGTTCCCTTTGATAAACTGGGTGTTAAGATCTTTTCAGATAGGGAGTCTCACTGCGTTCCTCTGTAACCAGACAAGCGCTGCGCTACTAACTGTGGGCGCGGTACACGAGCTACAATGGAAAGTGAGCTAAATACATTGGGGGTTTGATAAAATAGGGTTAAATAAAATAGCATTAAGTTAGTTGACTGTGGTGATATTCCCAGTCACCCACTGTCTTTGACAAGCAGACTGCTTTTTTGGTGGCTAAATTTAGCTTAGTTACCATAGTGCCAAACCTAGCAGGCTAGCTTAAACTAGCTTAAACTAAAATGATATATCAGGACTTGCTCTGGTGTTCTGCCATGTGAGTGTCCTCCTGTTCATGGACACTCACAAACCGCCGGAATCAGTCTCTCATCGTGAGTCAGTACTCAATAAATCGTTGGTCTCAGAAAAAAACCTCTCCGACAGCAGGTGTGTTCATGCACGTGACAGCACGCCCGCGACCGCTACACTAACGTTTCTCCTCAACTTTACCGTGACAGTCCTTAATGTTCCCTATTTACAACACTGATGAAGAAATATAGAATAATAATAAAGCATTGACCAAGCTTCATATAACGTTACCAGCTAGCGTTATCCGACATTACTACACACACCATTAGGCTACTAGCTAGCACGAAAAACATGGCGCTTACTTACAGAAAGAAAACGGTCTAAACAAGAGTCAAATATTACTCATCAAATGAGCGTGTCAAGGACAAGAAGGCTGATAAACGGTGCAGAGATTCGGTGCAGCTCCTCCAGTAAGTTCAGCTCCGCGTTGTTCGTCGCGGGCTCGGACCGTCACGTGGAGAGAGGACGGATTTGCGCCGATAGTTTGAAAAAAAAAAGCAAAAGTACTTCTACCACTCCGTGAAACTACTCTGTTACAATACAAGTACACGTCCTGCAGTGAAAATTTCAATTAAGTAAAAACATATGACCACAAAAAGAAATACTTGAACTATTAAAAGTAAAAAGTAGCATATAGAGGAAAATGTCTCTTGTGGTTATTATTATTATATATCACCTATATTATTAAAACATATATCGTTTCCCTCTGAAAATGTAGTGGAGTAAAAGTACAAAGTAATGTGAAAAAAACCTCAAGTGCTTTGTACTTTCATGCAGTATTGAGTAAATGTACTTAGCTACATTCCAACACAGGAAAAAAGCACAATTATCAAAAACTTACTTTTTCTAAATTAATCCAACTCAAGCAGACTGAGCTGGTGAGATTTTCCAACCATAAATTACAAGTAACTTACTAAAAGTGAGTGTTAATAGCAATTTCATAAAACTAATTTAAGTCAATTTACTATTTTTAATTAAATAGGATGTTTGGATTTACAGTCCAGACGGGCTGGAGGCAGCAGCACAAATCCACCTCCTACTCCAACAGGGCTTCCACTGTTGAGGTCTAAAAAGCTGGATTTGTATGTCATCCTGCTGTGTGTGTGAGTGAGCGCAGGGAGGGAAGCTGCCTCCCTGTTTCTATAGAAACCAGTATTGTGCGATGGAACGCAGCGTTTGTGATGCGTAACCATGTGTGTGCTGTTCCATGTTGAAGTCCGGTCCTTCCTGGTCGTTTCAGGGCTGCAGAAGGTTCACTTGAAGGCCTTGGACGGGCAGCGGTACTCCACCCTGGAGAGGCAGTGCTTGCAGAGTGGCCTGCTCTTTGAGACCCCCGCTTCCCCGCCATCGACCACTCGCCGTTCCACCACGCCAACAGGATGGGACGCGTGGTTGTGAAGAGGCCTCGGTGAGGGAACGTAGATTCAGGGTTTGAGGCTCCCTGTGGGTCTTTCTGATCAGTCATCAGGACCCAAACGCTTGAAATGATCCATTTAGGGGTCTCCTAACGTACAGTATCTGCCCAGGAACATGTTATGAGAATGGGGTACGTAAGTGCACCGTGCTAATGCTGCTTCGCCCCCAGCAGGAGCACCGTGTCTGTCTTGCCCGTTAGAGCGTTCCCCCCCCCGACGAGTTCTTCACGCCTGGTCAGCGGCCATCAAGCGCTTCTCCTCTCCCTTCTGTGGTCCTCTGGTGCAGGCCGGGCGACCGGACGTGTATTTCAGTGGCAGATGATACCGGATGCAGGGCCTCAGGACTCAGTGAGCCGACCCCCCCCTGACATGATGCTCATGGACTACAAAGTGTACAGCTTCTCCCGGAGTGGCCTGATGAGCTGGTCTCACACTTCCAATGCTGCTGCAGGTGCCAGCTTTGTTATTTCTGAAGGGTGTGCTCCAGCATCTTCACGGGGGGGACGACTTTGGAGACAGACACATTGTCCTCTGCCGACAGCTCTACAGTGGATCATAGAAGGGAGACAGCAAAGAAAGGCACCCTCCAACAATGTGGAACCCTTCTGCTGTTAGGAAGGTGATGTCATGTTGCTCCTACTGGCTCCCTTTGCTCCACCAAACGCTGCAGCATCCAACATGTGCTGCTCCATCTGGCCTCCACTTCTTGCATTAGCTTCATGTTTGCCGTCCCCAGATGAAGTTGTGTCAGCTTCTCCTTTAAAGATACAGATGAGTAGCCATTAACTCACTGCAGTAGGAACACAGACAAACTCTCAGCGTTATTAGAAATTGGGATAAAGGAAAAGAGCAAACCTTAGCAGTGGTGCTGCTCCTGAAGAAGCCAACCAGCTTCCGTGCTTTGGCCCGGATGCCAGAGAGCACCGGCTGCTGCTCAGGTCCCTTCTTCACTGTCAGATTCAGTGTGCAACATAAAATATGGTGGCGAAGCTTCAGCTCTCACACAGGAAACCATATTGGGAGCACCATCAGTGACCACACACGTCACCTTATGATCGATTCCCCATTCCTCCATCAGGGAGGCTTTCACACGACCTATATGTTCAGCAGTGTGTGATCGGGGGAAGCACTGAACCCAGTGTGGTTTCTCCCCCACAAAGTGGCACCTTACAGCCAGGTAGGCATCCATACTGATGGATGTCCACATGTCAGAAGTAAGGCTAACAGCAGCCACCTTTTCCACTTTAGCCTTCTCCTTAGCTGACTCCTACTCAGCCTCCACCACGGCCTGCAGAGCCTAAAGGAAAACACATCTAGTGCTGAACTGTGAGACAATGAAGTACTCATGTGTTTCATGCACCCACACATACCTGCCTTGTAGGGAGAACATGATGAGGATCCAGTTTGGACACAAATGCCCTGAATCATCCACAATACTGAAGGGCTGCGTGTCCTTCGCTGTCATGGAGACGAGGCTTCATCCAGCTCTTGTTTTAAAAGAGAATGAATACAGTGTCTGTTACCTGTCTTTATTTGCACAATGAACAACAGTCAATAATTGTGTTTTTGTAATGTTGTAATGACTTACCTTGGCTGGGTGAAGCTCCAGTTTCCTCCTTATTCTCATGCAAGGCACGGTGAGGCCTCAGCATGGAGGAGGTGCTGTTATTGCACCCAAACTCCTCGGAGCACAATAAACACCTCACCTTTGAATCAAATAAGAAACTGAAAAATACAGTTCTTGATAAGCAAACCTAATGTGTCTGAAATAGAGTGAGATTCAGCTCACCTTATTAGGAGTGATCTAATCACAGAGGAAGTCCTCCTCTTCCTAGCTGGCTCCATCTTATCACCTGTCCTTCTCTCCTCACTCTCAACTATCTCTCTCTAAACTCTCCAAACGATATAAACTATCCGAACCATCCAAACTCTAACTGACCAACTCTCACCAACAACCCACATCTTGAATGGAGCCTGAGGGGTTTATACATGGAAGTAAATCTGAAGCCCTTCCCGAAGCGTCACGTGGTCCCGCCGGGCAGCGAGGCTTCGGACGCCATCATTTATGGCTCCTCCCCTAAATGAAGCGAGCCTCGGTACGCGCTGCGAGGACACGCCCCCTCAGTCACTCGACACGCGCGAGGCGTCGGCACATCTGGTAACGTCACTAATTTTGACTATTAAAGTCTTTTTGTTTTCAAGCTCTGCGTCTGGGTGCTGCCTCTGCCTTCCCCCATCACCAACTGAGTAATATATGAACATATAGAAACATATAGATTATTAGTGTTAACCATAAATACAACAAACACGTAAACAGAATTACTTGTCAGTTGTAAAAAGGTCACAGCAGCTATATAATAAATAGCTGCTGTGACCTTTGACAGATAATATGAGGACTTTGGAAATGTGAAAAAAGACGTTCATGCCCCAACAAAATGGTCCATGTTGAATTTTGTGGCTCCTCCATCTATGTTTTTTCAAATAAAGAAACAAAAACATAATTCAAGTAAGCAGATGGCTCCATCAGCTAAAAACAAATGAAACGTACAACCATATTTTTTAGAGCAATGCAAATAAAGTTATACCTCTCCATAAAATAACTCACTCTGAATGGTCATTTGCATATTCCAGAAGGCCTCACTGACTCTCCACGTTCCACCTTCCGTGTTCTAACTTCCATGTCCATGTTCCGTTCTCCACAGCTTAAGAACACTCGCGGGTCAGGTAGTTAGCAGCCTTGGAACTGCACACAGGTTTTTTGCAGTGGCCGAACATTGAGAAAAGGCCACAATGACTCTGTGGCCCTAAAAGGACTCGAGGTAAGTGGGGAATCCAGACAGACGTCTGCATTAACTGGTGTTGGTGGTTTACTGGACTTGTCAGGTGGAGAAGTGGGTACCTGGAGATAAACCTCTGATTCACGCTGTTGGGACCTTTTTCTTACGGTGTCTTTTGTGTCTGAGCCGTGAAAGGATGAAATAAGACCATTTAACGCAGCCGGTGGCTTTAGTTCACTACAAATGTTCCCTTCTGTTCTTCCTCATGTGTAGATGACGATGAAAGCTCTTGGGACAAAACGTCCTCATCCAAAGGGCGCATCCCAAAGAAGAGGGTCCGACGCCGTCAGAGACTTGACACCGGCGTCAGAGCGCCATTGCTCGCCCGATACGAAAGGCCCGAAAGCTCCGGGCAGCGTGTCAGCGTGACTCGAGCAATGAGGAAAGACCAAGTGGAAAGGAAGCACAATCAGAGGAGGCGAGAAGAGGATTAGCGTTTTGTTCACGCTAATTGTAGCCTCGGCTATTTTGCTGTTCTCCTAGTCCGGTAGTAGTTAAGCGCTATTTGGTGACTCTCTGGTGGGTCTTGTGCTTTCTGTACTTCGGGTAAAGCTTTGTATATATATATATATATATATATATATATATATATATATATATATTGTTTGTATATATTAGTATGTATATGATGCACAAAGGTGCAGAAAGACATAGATAAGTGTGTGTTCCACTTCTTGTTAATGTACAGAGAATTGAAATACACAAACAAGGACACAAGTCAAACCTGAAAACAATAGTTTTATTCATATAGGAACAGAGCTGCCAACTTTTCAAAAAACCTTGGAGTGAGATTTTGTCGGGGGTGACCAAAATTTTGCCGCGCACGCAGTCACACACGTTGGTGGCTCAAATATCAGGAAATTGGAATTCATTTGGCGTAGTACCCATGTTGTACGCTGCATTCTGGTGGTTTGTGGGGCCCAAAGTCGTTGATAGGGGCGGCCTACTGGAGATGGACAACATTGGTTACATTCTGTGAAGCAAAGACATAGCTGATGGTCCACCCCCAGGACATTTTGGTTTAAGTAGATGTTATTTCATGCATTCTCGTGGATTTTTGGGTGGTCTGCCTCAACTTATTCTGATTTATGTCATC